AATGAACAGAGGGATTCTACATTGGACAAAAGCTCCTTGAGGTCTGACGGGGTAAAAGTGTCCTTCTTGAGTATTTCTCCGCAGCTCCTGAGTACCGTAACTGCACGCCGTTGGGTTGTACCCAATGACATTGCTATTGCTAGATCAAAGCTTCTTATAGTCGCTGTCTCCTCAGTTGGAGATGTCTCTTGGACTGCCGGAAAACGATAAAAAGGATGGGTCACCCAAAGCTCCGCAGAAAACCCCGAAAACATGTGCCTGATCCAATCGAAATATAGAAGGGCGTCCCCATCAGAAGGCGGCACCGACGCTGTTGCTGGCTGAAGCAAGCACAGCAAAAACAGCAGCAGCAAAGGCGCCAGCAGTAGCAGCAGCAGCAGAAGCACCCACTACAACAAAAACACTACTCAATCCTGATTACTGCACTTCATCAGCTGATCGCAACAGCCATATGCACGCATGGACACATAAAACACGCACACACCAGGCAGTTGAACGACAGATACAGGCGACTGCTGCAGCAAGTACAGGAAGCATCGAGTAGTGGCGTCTAGTCTATGCATGCATGCTTGCACATTTTGCATGTAGCAGCTCCAATGTGTTGCGGTGACGTCAGCTGCTCACGCACCATGGTACCCGCAGGCAGCGGCATCTGCGGCACAGAAGCAGGGGCAGTGGGAGAAGAGAGCAGCATGATTGAATGGTGTTGCTGTAAGAGAACTGCTCCCCCTACAGGTGTCGCAGCTGGTGCTATCCTGGGGAGACGCGCCGCAGCTTGGCCACGTGGTATATTTTGGGGAGTTGAGGGGTCTGGGTGTGGCTCCTGCTTATCGCTCGTTCCCTGTGTAGGACCTCTTCTAAGAATTATTGGGACCAGAGGAGACGTTGAGGGCCCTTCATGCATCGTGTGCGCAGGAGCCCTTCCGTCCAGGCCAGAGGTTCCTGCTGCAACTTCAGCAGCTGAGCCGCGTGGTAGATTTGGGGGACCTGAGGGGCCTGGATCTGGCACCTGCCTAACGATGATTCTCTCATTATGCTCTTTCCTAGGAGGTCCTGCTACTCGAGAGGACACTAAGGGCCCTTCATGCGCCGTACTCAATGGAGCGCTCCCGTCCTGGCCAGCTGCTGATGATGCGGTGGGCCACGAACCAAGCGAAAGACCAAGTGGTTCAGAGTTCTGTGGTTCGTCTGATGGCAACCAGCTCAACTCAGCAAGGGGATCTTCGCCGCCAAACAGCACAGTGTCAATAAAAGCATCGAATTCAGGGTCGAGAGGGGGGGCAGGTTGTAGCGGGCCTTCTCCATGCGGCACGTCAAGTATCAGCATTTTCCCCCAATCCTCCTCACCGAATGATTCGTCTAATCTCCTTTTAAGACTTGCTTGCTCCCCGTCTGTAGTTCCCTGTTCAATAGTTTCTGCCGGGAACACCAGGGCTGACGCGCCGGCGGTCGCATCAAGTGAAGGAGTATACACTGGATCTGCCATTAGTTCCTCTACCGACGTGAGACCGGGGAACAACTGAGCGCCGGCATCTTGTAAGCCCTGTTGCTCTTCTGAGGACGTGTTTGGATGGGATTCTGTGCTACTCGAATCGGATTCCTCGCATTTTTCGGGCCCCCAGCTAGCGGCCAGCCGGCGGGCGAAGGATGTACGCTTAATTATCGTTTTCATGAACCAACTGCACAGGTAGACAAGGAATATCATAGCAGAAACGGCGGAAAATAATGCAAAC